AAATCAGACTTCTGTATATATTAGAGTTCTATGTAAATATCAATAAAATGTATATAAATATCATTTTTGCTTCAGCAGGTTCTATACATCATACAGATGTGCCACTTTACGGTCAGTGAAAGGGGACCCCCCAGGCACCATATTTAAAGGCATTTTTAATTTTTAATGTTTCATTTTAAGTGATGTTAAATCACTGCTCCTTTAAAAATTGTATTTTTTAAAAGTGTTTTTTTCATTGATACATGTCCCCCAGGGCAGTACCCGGATCCCCATACACTTTTTATGGCCAATAAATTGCATATAAGGCTTCAAAATGGGGACATTTACATTTCTGAGTTCTACCCCCATAGACTTGCATTGAGTTCTAAGTTCGAGTTAGAACTTTTTCCATGTTCGAAAGTTCGAGTTAGAACCGAACACGTGGGTGTTCGGCTCATCACTAATGGGGAAGTTCTACAGAAGAGTATTAACACTTTTTAAAGAAAATTCTGCACATTTGTACAATTTATTATAAAAACACAATTTCTGTGTTTGCGGATAAAACAAAGTTATGCAGTGGAAAAATCCCTACAAGGTGTCTACCTCTAATAAGCTTTCTGTATGCAGAAAGCTTTCATCCAAAATTATCAATCCAGGGTACCTGATAAGGCAGAACCAAGTCAAATGTATGCCAGACATATCCCTAGTGACCAACTTATCTTCTCTTGGATGGAGAATAATGAGTCTATGGAGGTACGGATACATTTGACATCTAATCAGCAGCATAGAGAATTTAGAAACATCATTTGGCTCAAAATTGTAATTTTCTTGTGCATGACTTCCAGCTGTGACCCTTTTTACCAGAATGTATAAAATGCTTTTATGGACATGCTATTAAGAAATAAAAGAGGTGATCCTTGTATGCAAATAGGAACCCATAGATGTAACCATTGCAATTAATGTCAGTACAGGAAGGTTAAATACTGATGCTGAGTAATCATTAAACGAAACATTTCGAACATTGTGAACATGAATATTTATGTATTATGAACACATAACCTGGTGCTGCCGGTTTTGTTTTTGCAGTGCTGCCCTAGTCACATACCCATGAGTGCAATAGGGAAGCATGGCTGGTACAATATATTACATGAATACAGCTTATAAAACATGTTTTTAAAAACATATACATTTACAAAATATAGCTTATAAAATATGTTTTTTCCCCATTTTGCTTGTTTCTTTAACGAGCTTGTGAAAGGGAATTTTTTACAGTCATGTGACATATGATATAATATTAGAGACTGCTTGTGTATGTGATCAGCAGATTGAAACAGCAGAACAAACCAGTCATTACCACTTTCAGTAATAATAAGTAATTACAGTTACATAATCAGAAATAAATCAGCGGGTGATTTTAGCATGCAAGAACAAGACTGGCAGAACACCAGGTATTCAGTCTGTGCTAAATCTGAATTTCTGTTGACACTACAACACAGAGTTTCTGCCATCGACACTGAACCTCTGCAATGGTATTAAAAATCTCTCTCTCTATATATATATATACACTACAGAGGGAACATGTGTATTTAAGGCATAAACAATATTTAATTTGTACAGATTTTATTATTGTATTTTTGCATCCAATCGTGTTGCACGGAAAGTGGATGTTCTAAATGAAGCCAGCCCAAAATGGGTTTTTGTTTTGGATGTTTAACCAGCCATCCCTATTATCCATGGTCAAAAGATTAACAGGGTTATTCCTAAAGAGTGAAGACTTTGAACAAGACAGGAGAAGTGAAAAATCTAGGACAACATAGCTAAACTGGAAAGTGAGCTGAATTGGAGAATTTATCCAAATCAGCTATGTTGTCCTAGATTATTCACTTCTCCTGCCTTCTCCAAACTCTTCACCCTTTTGTGAATAACCCTGTAAATCTTTACTTTTACTTCTCAATTTCCTATGTATTGTACATAATGGAGAATGCAGCAGATGTTATGGCACTCTTCTGCTTGGCTTTAATAGTGATTGTACTATTGAAGATTTAAAATGATCTTAATAGGCTTGGGGTGATTCAGCCAAATTAATAAGCACCCAGAAACTAAAGAATCAAAGGTTTTCCAGCTATTATACAAAAATTGCTCAGAGAGAAAGTGGCTAATAAACTAAACAAGGGCACTTGAATACTTTAAATCATCGTAATGCACCAGAAACTGAACCCAGAAACGTCTGTCTTGCACACTCCTCATATCCTAGGTGCTAGAAAGGGCTTTCAGCAGAAGGAATGTGCGCAGTTGTCCTTTTTGGCATTCAAGTGTGGGAACTACTTATGAAAACCTGTCAGAATGAAAAAAAT